TTTGGCTGTGTCCATCTCAAGATTCGCTTCCTCCATCCCCGCAGTAAATTGGACATTGAATTTGGAAAGCTGGGACCCGTAGTGCGCTAGATGGGTTTGTGATTAGTTTTATCTCTGTGAGGAGGAAGAGATCTGCTGCCTGTGTCCAGGCTGTGTGCAGTACAGGGATGGGAAATGGAGTTCTGCTGAATGCCCTGCCAGCAGTGACCCCTGTCCTCTACCCTGCCAGTAGTGACTCCGGTCCTCTATACTGTCATTTGTGACTGCTATCCTCCACCCTGCTGACCCCTGTCCTCAGCTCTGCTGTCCCCTATCCTCAGCTCTGCTGACCCCTGTACACTGCCTTCTGACCTCCCATTCTCTGCCCCCTGACATTTTTTATTGCACTCCCACATCAGACAGGCTAGATCCAGCCCTGTTGGTCACTACATATTATTGAACTTACAAAACTCTCTGAAGTCATAACTAAAGTTGCAATGATAAGACAAAGAAACAACTTCCTTGTGACTTTTGTGATTTTAACATTGCAGTCTATGGCAATCATGTCACAAGAAAGATGCAGAAAAGTAGTGCAGGAACTGTTTTTTCGTTGCTGCAACTTGAGTTGCAGTAATTAATATGGCAGCCATTGAAATCAATGTATTTTGACTTGTCATGTGACTTTCAGTGACGCACAAATCAGTAAGTTGCATGAGAAGTTGCAGAAGTGTGAACCAGGGCTTACTCCCAGTGGCGTCCCGAGGCAGGTGCGGGGGGTGCGGCCCGCAATGGGTGACACCTACTGCACGGGGTGACACCGGACCTGCTCCACGAAAAGGTAAGTTGTAAAGCTAGTCGACAATCCCCGCAGGATGGATCTGATCCATCCTGTGGGCATCATCGGCTTTCTTTACAACTTACCTTTTTGTGGAGTGGGTCCGGTGTTACCCTGTATAGGTTGCATGCCGACGATCCCCGCAGGATGGATCGGATCTGCGGATTGGGGAGCATAATGGATCGAAGTCCGATCCATTATGCTCAATCCGCAGATCCGATCCATTCTGCCGGGATCATCAGAGGGGGTGTCACCAAGTGTTATCGCACCAGGTATCACCAACCCTAGGGACGCTACTGCTTACTCCCTTAGTAAATCATCCCCAATGTGTGTTATCTTGGCAGCAAATTGTTTATTACTTGTGTAATGTTTGGTTACCTGAGGTTCCTAAAATGTTTTTTAATTATCTGGTATCTACTAACCAACATTATCAGACAACAAACAAGTATGATCAGTAAATGGGGCCTTAAGGGATGCGGAATGCATATTATTTCCAGGTCATTTAAAGCTATAGAAGACAGAGAGAGAGAGATGGTGTTAGACTGCAAACATGCTAAAAAGATCTATGCAGATGTGCTCCAAGAAATATTCAGACACTGCATTCATGCTATAGGAAATGTTCAGACACTGCATACATGCTATAAGAAATGTTCAGACACTGCATACATGCTACAAGATATGTTCAGACACTGCATATATGTTACAAGATATGTTCAGACACTGCATATATGCTAGAAGAAATGTTCATACATGCTACAAGATATGTTCAGACACTGCATATATGTTACAAGATATGTTCAGACACTGCATATATGCTAGAAGAAATGTTCAGACACTGCATACATGCTACAAGATATGTTCAGACACTGCATACATGCTACAATATATGTTCAGACACTGCATAATGCTAGAAGAAATGTTCAGACACTGCATACATGCTACAAGATATGTTCAGACACTGCATACATGCTAGAAGAAATGTTCAGACACTGCATATAAATGCTACAAGATATGTTCAGACACTGCATACATGCTACAAGATATGTTCAGACACTGCATATATGCTAGAAGAAATGTTCAGACACTGCATACATGCTACAAGATATGTTCAGACACTGCATATATGCTAGAAGAAATGTTCAGACACTCCATACATGCTACAAGATATGTTCAGACACTGCATACAGCATATGCTAGAAGAAATGTTCAGACACTGCATACATGCTACAAGATGTGTTCAGACACTGCATACAGTATATGCTAGAAGAAATGTTCAGACACTGCATACATGCTACAAGATATGTTCAGACACTGCATTCAAGCTATAGGAAATGTTCAGACACTGCATACATGCTATAAGAAATGTTCAGACACTGCATACATGCTACAAATATGTTCAGACACTGCATATATGTTACAAGATATGTTCAGACACTGCATATATGCTAGAAGAAATGTTCAGACACTGCATACATGCTACAAGATATGTTCAGACACTGCATACATGCTACAAGATATGTTCAGACACTGCATATATACGCTAGAAGAAATGTTCAGACACTGCATACATGCTACAAGATATGTTCAGACACTGCATATATGCTAGAAGAAATGTTCAGACACTCCATACATGCTACAAGATATGTTCAGACACTGCATACAGCATATGCTAGAAGAAATGTTCAGACACTGCATACATGCTACAAGATGTGTTCAGACACTGCATACAGTATATGCTAGAAGAAATGTTCAGACACTGCATACATGCTACAAGATGTGTTCAGACACTGCATACAGTATATGCTAGAAGAAATGTTCAGACACTGCATACATGCTACATGTGTTCAGACACTGCAAGCATGCTAGAAGATATAATCATAAACAATGTATATTCTACAGGAGATGGCCTGTGACAATAAACATTATACAGGAGGCACTGAAAACTGGGGACACGCTCCAGGAGATGGCCATATACTGAGTATATATTACTGGGGACGTCTAGAGATTTCCACTTAACAATGACTTATAATGACTTAATAGGGGAGGTTTACTAAAATTGGAGAGTGCAAACTCTGGTGCAGCTATACATGATAGCCAATCAGCTTCTAGCTTTAGCTTGTTTGTTTAAGCTTTGCCAATAAAACCTGAAAGATGAGTGGTTTCTATGCAGAGCTGCACCAGATTTTGCACTTTCCAGTTTTAGTAAATCAATCCCTATACTGTAGGTCTTATGGTGAAAAAATGCTTTTAAATTTGTTTTCCCTACAGTCCTTTAAAAATTAAAAAAAAAACACATTTGATATTCCTCAGAGTAAGCTCATTAATAAAGATTCACTGAACCATATAAACAGATAAATAGAGAAAAGTGATTGAATACCACAAAACATATAAAGTGCTGCGTAAATTGATGGCGCTATATAAGTAACTCTAATAATAATAATACTATAAGAATATGTGAAAGAAATAGATCAAACATCTAATGAATCTTACTAGTCTGCAGCTTGCACCATGCTAATCTCTGTTCACAAACACTTGTCAGCTGCAGCTTGTCACCAAACCTTCATTCCAACTTCAGTAATATATGAAGCCGTGTCCTTCCCAATCCTCTATGTTATGTACCATCACCAAACACCCTTCAGGCATAAACACTCACCAGGTCCTCATGTTCTCATTTTCATGTATGCCTCACTATGCTTAAGCGATCCTTAGTTCTGCTCTTTACTTGTCACCATGGTCTTGTCACTCTTTTTTCCCTCTTTGGTGTGAGATGCACTCAGCAGATCAGTTTCCGTGAATAAGAACCAGAAAAAAAAATCAGAAAAATAAAAAAAAAGTCTGTCTGGCATAAATGACTTTACAATGTATTATGTCTCAGGAAACAAGATTTACAGTTTCAGTATTAAAATAACTTTTAATAAAGGTGTTCAGTGCTCACCTTCCTACAAATATTCCTTAATACTTTTCACACAGCAGGACTTAATCAGAAGGCTATTGTTATACGAAACACGTCAAAGCATTTTGTAGATGGTCAATGTCTTTTACTCATGTTTAAAATAAAAGTCTACTGGTTTCTAGATTTTTATGAATTCACTACCTTTTGTCTGATTGGTACAAAGCCAGTTTCAGGCGAACAAAATACGAGAAGACGTAAGTTTACATAGAAAAGGAAAGCACCTGCTACCCATCACAATATTTATATCTGTCTGGTAGTTAATTACAGATGTTTGCTCAATTCATAATGCTTACAGCTGTGTTTAATCAGATAACTCTTTTTCAATCTGCTAGATGTGACACCTTGCTTACAAGAAAATAGAAACTGCAGTCATGGCTGTGTACAGACAGCTGGGGGACCTGTCTGCTACTGCCCTGAAGGATCAGTGCTTGCTAGTGATGGGAAAACATGCACAGGTATGCAGGAGTTCTAGGAAGAATAATGGTCACAATAATTAACTATCTGTCCTCTCTTATCAGCCCCATATGGCATTTCCGGCCCTTTCCCATATGGCACATCATCATGGGACTGGTCAAAACTAGTAAACTCAACATATAAGCATCCTGCAGTTGTGTGACAACATAAATAAAGAGTTTATTAACCTCCCTAGCGGTATGATTATGTCCATATTTCTGTGCTCAAAGCGGTACATTTTTTTGCATGGAAATATGTTTTTTTTATTGTAGGCCTGTAATTTTTAGGAATAACTCACTGAAATCTGTCCGAACAACAGTCTAGTAAATATCCCGGGTAGGATAAAACTTGAAACACGAAATCATAAATTATAATTTAATAAGTAATCTAAAAAAAATAATAATATAATAATAAATTTAATTCAATAATATAATCAAACCAGAAACACTGAAATTTGAAATATAGCGCCAAGTTCGCACATCGCTGAGCTTAGTGGCAAAATCGTTTTCAGTGTCTGATGACGAATTTCCCCACGAATCTTTATCACTCAATTCTGCAAGTAGTTCTAATTTACTATCGCTGTTCTCTAGCTGGTCTAAAACCGCTTTTGACCTAAAGGGACGCTTTTTGGACGCCATGGACATTTCTCAGTTTCCAGGCAGAAAGAACAGTAAAAATGCGGGCAGGGCACAGGACAAAGCACTAGGGACAAAATGTATGTGAAATGGTTTGATACAGTAATGTTTTACTATGTGATTTTAGTGATTTTAGTGAATGTCACTTTTTGTCATTTTCAAATTTCCGTACCCCGTACGTCCCAACTAGAGATGAGCGAATTATTCAAAAATTCGATTCGGCTGATTCGCCAAATTTGCGGAATAAATTCGATTCAATGCGAATTTATTTGCTGCGAATTTAACTTATTATAAGGGTTTCTAGGCTTCAGAGAGCCTTTATATTAGTGCAGAACACTGTACCTTTAATTTAAATGCCCTTGGAGTCTGCTGGGGAAGAGAAATAATACTGTCAGTCAGTATGACATGCAGATGAGTGCCGTCGATCTTAGAATCACCGCACACTTCACTCATTTGGGCAGTCACGGGGCACGATGAAGAAGATGAAGAAGAAGAGAGAAGAAGAAGAAGATGAAGAAGAAGATGAAGAAGATGATGAAGAAGATGAAGAAGAAGATGATGAAGAAGATGATGATGAAGAAGAAGATGATGAAGAAGAAGATGATGAAGAAGAAGATGATGAAGAAGAAGAGATGAAGAAGATGAAGAAGAAGATGAAGAAGATGAAGAAGATGAAGAAGAAGAAGAAGATGATGAAGAAGAAGAAGATGAAGAAGAAGATGAAGAAGAAGAAGAAGATGAGGATGAGGAAGAAGAAGAAGAGGATGAGGATGAAGAAGATGAGGATGAAGAAGAAGAAGAAGAAGATGAGGATGAAGAAGAAGAAGATGAGGATGAGGAAGAAGAAGAAGAAGATGAAGAAGAAGAAGAAGAAGAAGATGAGGATGAATAAGAAGAAGAAGAAGAAGATGAGGATGAGAAGAAGAAGAAGAAGATGAGGATGAAGAAGAAGAAGAAGATGAGGATGAAGAAGAAGAAGAAGAAGAGGATGAGGATGAAGAAGAAGAAGATGAGGATGAAGAAGAAGAAGAAGAGGATGAAGAAGAAGAGGATGAGGGTGAAGAAGAAGAAGAGGATGAGGATGAAGAAGAGGATGAGGATGAATAATAAGAAGAGGATGATGGTGAGGAAGAAGAAGAAGAAGAAGAAGAAGAAGAAGAAGATGATGAGGATGATGAAGAAGAAGAAGAAGAAGAAGAGGAGGATGAGGAAGAAGAAGAAGAAGAAGAGGATGAGGATGATGAAGAAGAAGAGGATGAGGATGAAGAAGAAGAGGATGAAGAAGAAGAGAATGAGGATGAAGAAGAGGATGAGGATGAAGAAGAAGAAGAGGAAGAGGATGAGGAGAAGAAGAAGAAGAAGAAGAAGAAGAAGAAGAGGATGAGGATGAAGAAGAAGAAGAAGAAGAAGAAGAGGATGAGGATGAGGAAGAAGAAGAAGAAGAAGAAGAAGAAGAAGTAGGATGAAAATAAGAAGAATTCCAGTACAGCAAAAAGTGTATCTGCAGAGAGCTCCGCTATTTCTGACAGTTCTCTGACAGTTCCTTCACATTTACAGCGGTTGAAACATTGTATCTATTTGTTTCCGAATAAAAACATCTGTATCCTAAATGGAAACAAATAGATACAATGTTTCAACCGCTGTAAATGTGAAGGAACTGTCAGAGAACTGTCAGAAATAGCGGAGCTCTCTGCAGGGACACTTTTTGCCGGCTGTAGAAGGGATGAAAACACTGTTCAACAAATTTTTATTTTTTGCCAGTTTTGGAAACAAAAGGATCCATTTCTTAATGAATTTCACATTCTGAGTTCAAATATAACAATGAAATTTGTCAATTGGCTCTAGTTTTTCTGTAAACGGAAAGTTTTCTACTATAGGCGTAATGACTACATAATGCACAATAATTATATAGATAGATGTCTTTCCACAAATATAAAGCAAGTGATATTGACTACATAACAAATCCTAAATGGCATAATATATTGCATAGGATTACCAAGAAAAATTATAGCCATAAGCTAAGTTGAATCATTTTAATACTTAGGATTCTCACTAGTTTTGTCTTCAGTTTGTGTCGGTTTTGCTTCTCTTGGCTTTTCTCTTGTATTCGAGGAAAGGGCTATCTCTTACAACTGCACGTGACTACACGCTTCAGGTTCTTCCTCACTTGACTCAACCACGAAGGATTCTGGTGCTTTAGGAATTGGTAGCCCCTCTCCATGAGGAACTGGACGTATTGCCGATGGAATATTTGGATAGCGCACAGATAAATTTAGCCCTTTTTACAATTGGAGGCACCATACAAAAGTAAAATTACTAACATGATCTGTTGGCTCTCTCCAAATCATTGGCACAGCGAAAGCATAGATGCCTTTTTTCCATTCAACCATTGCTCCAGTGCCGTCCCACAAGAATTGCAGCATATATGTGGTGCCCAGCTCTTGTCCTGGTCTCCTATCTTGCAGCCAAAATACAAGTTGTAGGCTTTCTTAATCATTCCTGTTATCTCCTTTGTTTGTGAGATAAAAGTTATTTCACCGCAGATATAGCAGAAATTATCTGCTTTATTCACACAAGTTCGAGGCATTACTGAGTAGCCTATATAAGCATAAAACGAAATGTAAAGACGCTGTCGAACTACAATCAGCTACAGATACTGCAGCTTTTATGCAGTGAAGTGATGCAATTAAAGGCTAATATTGCACATCTCAGTATACATGCAACTATTGGTCACCAGTATCAATTGCGCAATATGCAGCTGAAGTTGCATCATAATTTTGAATGGCTTACGTCATTAGATGGGTGAATATATCATGGAAACTAGAGCCAATCAACATTTTTTGCCTTTTCATTTTCAGCACCCCAAAATTATGTAAGATTAGATATGAAAAACTTTTTACCTGTTGAACAGTGAAATCGGACCGATCGGGAAAAATTCGATTCGTGCATCTGAAGTTTGCTAATTTTCGGATTCGACGCGAATCGAATTTTTCCTAATATTCGAAACGAATTCCACTTCGCCAAGTTCGATTCGCTCATCTCTAGTCCCAACGCTTTCAGGGGACGGAACCCAGATGACAGATGCCAGCATCTGCCGGATTACATTGCCGGGGACACTGCAGGAGGGACATCGCAGGAGCGCAGGACAAGGTAAGTGATCGAGGGATCCCGGAGCAGCGCCGCATGGTAAGCCCGAGTGTAGCTCGGGGTTACCGCTTGTGGTACTGAAACTTTACCCCGAGCTACACTCAGGATTACCGCCAGGGAGGTTAATCATCATGAGCCCATGATATGACACCTAGGGGAATATTTACTAAGCCTGAAGAGTGCAAAATCTGGTGCAACTCTGCATAGAAACTTATTAGCTTCAAGGTATTATTGTCAAAGCTTAACTGAACAAGCTGAAGTTAGGAGATGATTGTCTACCATGCACAGCTGCACCAGATTCTGAGTGTACCCATTTTAGTAAATCTACCCTTTACAGTGATTTAGTCTGTCATGACAATATAGTAGGGTTGCCAACCATCAGTAAATTTATGGACAGTTTGTAATTTTTACAACTGTCTGCAAATATCAGGGGCTGATAATTTGTCATGCTTTTGCAAGTGTAAACCAGTCAAATTACTTATTATGGGTATTGTCAGTGTTTTCATATTGTGTTTATACTGTTTAAATATTGATTATCTTAGTTTTTAATGTAATTTTTTAGGTTGTCAGTAAAAAAGGTGCTTCATCAGTACATTTTCCATGTTTTGTCACTAAAAAATGCTTCAGGGGGTTGGCAACACTGCAATGTAGTAATATATAGAATATGTAGATATAGTACTGTGTATAGAATAGTATACCTCTATTTTATTATTTATCATATATATAAATAAATAAGATAAAAAAATAAAAATAAAATAAGTAATTTGTTTATATTTTCTTTTCTTTATGCTGAGGACTAAAAATTACATTTTTAAAGGTATTTTTTGTTTCTTTATTTTTTTAGTTAGTTGTAGCTGAAGGATTGCTTGACTATATCATATTTATATTTCCAGAAAGCATATTAATTTTCACGTGTACTGAACTAGCCATAGCTGTTTTGCTGAATAAAACCAGATTTTTTACCTCAATAGCTTAAGCTCAGATTTACACACAGAACATGATGAGTAAGAAGGGCGACGCCCCATCACTTACCTCAGTGCCTGTTTTGTTTAGATGAGTTGTACAGACTTTCAGTTAGAGAAAGGCACACCGAAAGCACGCCTGTGCTTTTCCATTAGAAAACCTATAAATATCTGTGACATCGGTGATAATGATGCACCGCCATATTAAAGCCCAAGTCTATCTTGGGCAAAAAAAAACAAAAATAAAAGCAATCCCTGACAACTCTTGAAAATAAAACAGAAGCTTTAGCTGCTAATCTCGTCTCCTTTCTGGCACTCTAGCTACTCATCTTTCAGGTTTAATTGCAGCACAAAACATTAAAAACACAAAACTGCTCATTCAACCCACTTTCTGTGAGCACAGGGTGTTAAGGCTACACCCCAACCCTGAACTCAAGCCTAGTATACACGGTCAGAAAATTGTACAATAAATATTGCTTTTGAAGCGATCAAAGGATAATCTGGTCAATAATACACAGCTTTCATCCGAAATTATTTGAAGGAACAAGCGTGAAAATTTCTTGTACGATACCAGATCATACAATTTTCGTTTAATCGGTACAGTTTTGTCCAAAAATATATTACAAATATATTACAATACATGACATCACTTCCTAATTTTTTTCTGTCCTATGAGAATTTTTGTAACTTTAGTAACCTTTTTATTATTGATATGAGAATAGCGTGCAAAAAAACCCCCTGCTGATCATTATTCTCATTGTGTGTATGGGGCTTGACAGAGGAAGCTGAATAAACTGGTGCCATGTTATTACATTGCTTCACCTTCCAGATTTCACTTACCTCTGCAGGGCCTGTGATGTCACGGGTCCAGACCGAAGACACGATAAGAATAAAATAGTAATAAGAATTTTCTTTAGAAAGAGTGGGAGGGGGGATAGTACTCCATCAGGGAGGAGAGTGAGATATATGTATATTAATTGTTATTTTATTAGTTGTGTCTTATGTAAACTGTCTTGTATGTTAATATTTTTGTCTTCTGTTTTGTGTTTTGTTAAATGTGAAATTGGCGAAGGTTTGAAAAATCGAAATGAGGGTTTATCCACATGCGGTGGCCCATTGATTTAACTGTTTTTATCAAACAGTTGAATAATTGGACATCAAAATTGGCACATGTATACCCAACCTAAGATAGGGATTTTATATTTGCTAGATATTTCAGTATATTGTTATATATGTCTTTATTGTGTGATTATATAATTTTATTAAACGTGGACACTGTAATGGAGTAGGACTACATTAAATTCATGCATTCATAGTTGGAAATTCTCGAAAGATGTGAATATGTTATGTATAGTAACTGCATAAGTACAAAATCATAAGTCCTAGATATGTTGTTTTTAAGGCTGCTCATCTCCTGACAACGGAGGATGTAGCCAGATATGCAGGGGGACTAGAAGAGCAGAATGGGAGTGTGACTGTTTTCCTGGGTATACTCTGCAATGGGATAAGAAGCGCTGCCTTGCTTCAGGTCAGTAGATTTCATAGCTTTTTTGTTTTTATTTTAAATTTTTACTAAACCCAGGAGCCTGCATTTATTATATCTGGTCTCACACAGTACAAAGAACATGAAAATGCAATTATTTTTGTAAATATAAACTGCTAAATACCTTTTCTTATCAGCCGTATATAGCAGTCTTGTGACTTTTATCAGTGTCCAGCAGAGCACTGGTTAAAGCTTGTAGGAGGAGTTTTCATTCTCCTCTAGGAGAATGCAGGACCCCTGACCTCTGTCTGGACAGTGCCGATTGGCCCTCCAAACCTCTGTTCTATAAGGAGACATTTAGTTGACAATGGAAGAAAGGGAGGATCAGAGAAGAGAGGATCAAGCATCCTTTTTACACAATGCAGAGGATTAACCCCTTAGGTTCCACAGTGAGTATAACAAGCATGCTTTGCTGCATATACAGACTGATTTTACTGTTGTGGGTTTAGTAACACTTTAAATCATTTGCCATTTTTTTTGTGTAATCAATAAAAATAGCATATGGATAAGGCAAATAGTTAAACCATTTTATTTGCTACAAAATGCTAAATATAGCTCTGACTTTTGTTTATAATTTCTTTTTTATTCTATGACAGCATTACTTCCTATATTTAACAGAATAATATTTATTTGTGCATTAAGTACAGGTCCTCGGCCATTCCTACTGTTTACAAATGTACAAGACATCCGGAAAATGAACTTTGATGGGACAGATTATGACAATCTACTGGAAACACAGATGGGAAGAGTCTTAGCACTAGACCATGACCCTCTGAAAAATAGGGTAGTGTATATTGAACAGATCTTATATACTTTGTATATTAAAGCCCTTTGCTCAAAGGGATTACCCAATTTTGAATGTCCATGTCTCCATTATCTTATCTATGTCTTTGTCTACTATCTATCGATTTTTTTAAACCTTTGCCAACCAAGTGTTTTAATGATTCAGAACATCAACTCCAGTTCTTCGAAGGCTTTCTGCAGAGGATGTGGTTGACAGAAAGTGAAAATTCTAGGAAGTTAGTTAATAGACAGAAAATACTTAAAAAAAAACATATAGCAAAAATGCAGCTATAAAAATTCCTTAAGCTAATATGTGCATCCTCAAAAAATACTGGCAATTTACAATGGTAAATATGAAATTAAATCAATAAAAGGAAAGTCTAGCTAGAGATTTTTTTTTTATCACAATTGCATTGTCTAAAATATATTTAAAGCCATGGTTGGAACTCTAAAAGCTGCCAAACGTAAGAAGATTTCCTGTATTAAGATCTATCCTGAATTTACCTGGAATAAGCTCGTTTGTAGACAAAGTCGGGGAGTGTAATAATATGGTATAAGATCAGTTGTCGGTTGGTCATTGGGCACTGTGCAACATCTACTGCAAACGAACTGAGAAGGTCACATCTGGGAGCTGTCAGTCACACTAAATCTGCCTATTACGCTCGCTCAAAGGACTGCCTCCGTCTCGAAAGATTTGGGGTCCACAAATGTTGCTGACATTAAAGGACAAACATAAATCTTCTTACGCTTGGCAGCTTTTAGAGTTCCAACCATGGCTTCAAATAAATTGACACATTGATCATCATTAAATAATAAACCAAATTTTACTTTCAGTTATTGCACTGAATTGTTGCATTTGCTGCCAAGCTTTACTGAGCATAATGCATTTAGACAGTTTAGCGTATTCCAGGGTCACTACTCATCATAATTATGTAAAATTAGTATGAATTAATCTAGATATGATAATTGTTTATTGAAAGTGGTAATAAACCTAAAAGGAAACATTTATTATACTGCAGCTTACCAATGCTTAGATGTGATTACTCCTTTATTTTCACCTGGTGATCCAGTTATTAAGGCTGTTGTTTGTCAACAGAATAAGGTCTCCTTCAAATTTAGCAATCGGAGTGTTGAGACAAACCATTTACCACTGACAGGGGTATTTACAATGATCAGTGTTTATTTATTCATGGAAAACCTCAAAGAAAAAACTTGCTGTAACTGCTTGTGTAACTGCAGTGTGAGCTGGAGTTTGGCTTCAATTTGCTAGTGTATCTAAATGTGCTAGTACATCTGACACTCCCCTCCACCCCAAAAACAAAAATTTAAACTATTGCAGCATCCTAACACACACCTTGGATGTGATTGCTCCAATAGTTTTCTTTTTCAGGCTTTTTCTTCTTTATTTTCACCTGGTGATCCTGCAAGCAACACACATCCTGTTCTAGGGGGACAACACTCACTGTACTTTATCTATGGAGGAACAACGTTGTCACTCTACAGTAGGCACCTCTTCTGATTTGAACTACAAACACCTCAGCCTCTCCAGACCTCCATTACACAAGAATCAAGGATTCTGCCATGAGGTTTGAGATGCTAGTCCACTAAACTGCCTGGGGTGCCTAACTGCCTCTCAGGGAAAGGGAGTGCTATGCATTGTTTAAGATTCCGGTTCAATTAGTTACAAGGACAAAGTACATCACGTTATATAAAATATTACATTTTGGGGGGTTAGATATGCTTTAATATATTTTTGAGGATTAGGTTAAAGAATAGGTTAGAGGTAATGTTACTGTCAATGGTTATAGGGTCAAATCTAAGTGTTATGCATAGGGCTGGGTGG